CAAGTATTTCACTTTCTTAGTTATTTGCATTCTGGTTGCTACTTCCAGTTCCTCTTCTTGCTTTTTTGTCTTATCTGACAGTGACACTCGTGATCCTGAACCCCTAGCCCAAAGAGTTGGACTAAATGATCTCTATTGTTCCATCTCTCGGATTCTACTAGCCTGCTCTTATTTTTGACTTGTAGCTATTGAAAGATTTACAACTGAGCAGTTGAAGCTCATGAAATCAACTGATTTGCTTCTTGTTTGCCCTAATTCTAAGGCTTACGTAGCACATTAATACTGCAAAAGAACTCTACTTTAGGAAGCAGGTGATTGCTGTGGCTAGAAGATCTGATTTATAAACGTTTGTAATCACCATATGTGCAGCAAGGAACATCTGCTTTTAATATAAATACTACCTTGGCTATCCATGGTGCAAATTTTGCAACTTTATTAATGATCCCTTCATTCTTATTTTCTGTGAACAAATAAAGACAGTGTGCTTTTACTTAATGATTTTATAGTGACTGGAGAAGCTTTGTAGCTAAGTCAAAAGATGGATTCTGTGGTTCAGGCTGTAGTCATGAATTTTTCATCACTGATACCACATACTAGCTTGTCCCTTGCATCTCTGTCAGAGTTATGTTCTAATTATAGTTCTGAGAGGTCTGGCTCATACTTGTCTATGTCTTTCAAGGCATTATTTATAAAGTCAGTTTGAAATACTTCTACTGTTTCTTTCTGGCATTGATACAGTAGGCTCCTCATTAAGCTTTACCATATGTAGAAACCTCTGTAATCCTAGAAATGCTTTAATGTAGAACTGTGCTCCCCCCCCACCAAAAAACCCCCCTTGGGCAGTAAAGCCATGACTAAGCATTTCTTAGGCTCCCTCCCAGCATGCTGCTATTGAGGGAACTGTGAAAGAATTCCATGTATGGCTACCATTATTTAGGAGTGCCATTATTGAGCTTGATTACAAAATGTAAGTGTTCCTTTCTTCCTGGTTTGCAAACATTATGTGGAAGCAGAGAAGGAAAAAGTAAAAACTTTCAGAACAGAAGTTGCTGTCGCTGCTGTTTCGACATGACACAATACTTGCTCTAAGTAGAAAAGTTATTGTTAGGGGTATCTTATAGAGCCGAGGTGGCGCAGTGGTTAAATGCAGCACTGCAGGCTACTTCAGCTGACTGCAGTTCT